GACCCGCCTGGGCAACTTGGCGAGACCTCATCTCTACGATAAATCAAAAACTAGCCGGGCCTGGTAGCGCGCGCCTGTAGTTCCAGCTACTTGGAAGGCTGAGGCGGAAGGATTACCAGAGCCCAGCAAGTCGAGGCTGTGGTGACCGGGAACGGCCATTGCACTCCAGTCTGGGCAGTAGAGTGAGACTCCAACTCAAAAAAAAAAAATAAATAAAATAAAATAAAAGCACAATGAGAACCAAATTCCTAAATCTCTTCACTTGTTTAGTACTGAGTCATGTGTACCCCTTTATGATATCAGTTGCCTTAAACTGCAGTCAAGTGAGTTATGCCATGGAAGGTTAAAAAGGAAAATACAGGTCTAGTTGCTTTACTACAGGTCTAATTGCTTTACTAGACTCTGGTGTGGCCATGTGCTCTTTGAGCTGTGGCTACCACCATGTTTTCTAAGCTCTGGCCCCCTCTCCTGCCTTGGAGAGGTGAATCCTCTCCCTCTCTCTCTCTCTTTCTCTCTCTCTCTCTCACTTTCAATTCTTTGCATCTTTCTCGTGGTATCGGATCCTCTCTCTCTCTAACTCTTCTCTTTATCTTCCTGTCTCTCACTTTCTCTCATTCTCCTCTCTCACTGAGATTTGACTTTCTAAATAAACTATATTTTCTAATCTAAAAAAGAAAAAGGAAAATACCGAACGTTTTCTTTCTTTCCATAAATAAATGAATTTGTTTTTCAGTGTCCTCAAATATCACTGGTAAACTTGTCTCTGCTAGCAGTTGACACTTCTGTCATCGAACAAAGAACACCTACATGTGTTAAATAATCACTGCAAGTTAAATATTATAGCCTAGAATGTATTCAGGTTCTCTTTAGAATATAGAAAATAAAGAGAACTGAATTTTCTTAAGAATGCTGGAGTGTCAGCATGATTCATTTTTGTGAAATGTTATAGTCTAGAAAGGCAAGGTTTTCCCAGCGATTCCTATCAATCTTGAATTCAAATCCAGGAAGGGGAAAGTGTTTCAACTCCATGTGTTAAATCCTGCACTCACTACAAAAGCTATACTCTCACACTGGAGGGGAGGAGGGAGCTTGCAGGAATTTCTTGTATAAACTTCGCCTGAGCTAATTTGTTTTGTTTGAAACTGGAAATCATATTGTTGAAGTTTGCATTCTGTTTTATTTCAATAGGTGTATTAACACAAAGTACTGTGTTTTAAAAGGGCTTCCTCCTTTCTGCAGGAATAAATTTGGCTTGTGAAACAGAAAAAAAATTGCACCAGCAGTTCAGCAACATTGCACGTCTTCCATCATTTTGGGGACGCAGGCTTCAGCTCAGTAACTCCAGATCTATTTTCGGGAAATGTGAAAACAAGCCATAAGTGCTGAACATAAAACCTGACTGTGCACTCAAAACATTTGTGCAATCTCATGGTCCACTTACCATTGAGTTTCTGAAAATGTGCGTTTATTTTTAAAGTCATTAGAATAAATGAAAATTGGAACAAGGTGCTACCTAGAGACGCTTGAGGAAGGATGCTCTGTGAATTCTTCCTGTGAAGTGACCAAGCCTCTTGCCCCCCAAAATAGATGCTATCCTCTCCAGATACTCCTTGTTCCAAAGAATTTGATTAAGATGGAGACAACAGAATATTCGTTAAAAATTTTTTTTAGCCGGGCTCGGTGGCTCAGCCTGTAATCCTGCGCCTTTGGGAGGCTGAGGTGAGTGGATTGCCTGAGCCCGCAGGTTCAAGACCTGCCTGGGCAACTTGGCGAGACTCATCTCCATAATAAATTAAAAATTAGCTGGGCGTGGTAGTGCATGCCTGTAGTTCCAGCTACTTGGAAGGCTGAGGCGGAAGGATCGCCAGAGCCCAGCAGGTCGAGGCTGCGGTGGTCGGGAGCGGCCACTGCACTCCAGTCTGGGTGATGGAGTGAGACTCCAATGCAAAAAAAAAAAAAAAATTTTTTTTAGCTACACAAAGTAAAGTACTGAAAAAGCATTTTTCTGAAGAGGCATAGAATGGTCGAAAAGTCAACAGCCAGACCAATTGTGTTTTGGAAAATGTCATAATGGAAGATTCATGGTGAGTCAGGGCATGCCCATTGTGTCTGAAGACAAGAGAGAGAGTGTGGTGAGAGAGATTTCTAAGCTCAGGAAATGCTCTAGAAACGACGGGTTGGTCTAAGAATGCCTCATGAGACACAAAACCCCAGTGCAACTGCTGTCTGAATGTGAGGAAAGGGTGATGCTGAGAAAATAATTGTACTCTTGCAAAATACATTGTCCTTGAGCTTTGACCTTCTTTTTTTCAGCTTGAAGAGCTCAGCCTATACTAAGGACTTTTGTTGTTTGCTCGGCATTTTAAAAAATGCATTCTAACCCACGGCTGTGTATCTGTCCTCTCTGTCGTGCTCCTGTGCCCAGGTTGGCCTTCCTTCCATGACGTGATCAGTTCTGAGGCCATCACTTTCACAGACGACTTTTCCTACGGGATGCACAGGGTGGAGACCAGCTGCTCCCAGGTCAGTGAACTCCGTCTGAAAGTCCACATGTGCTCGCTCTGTGTCGTGCTAGAGAACGGCCAAGGCCAAGTGGCGGGTCATGAGAAGCACAGATGAGCCCCATGAAGTGTGTATGAAGTCCGAGCGACATCCGTCCTCAGGCGGTCAGCAAGTCCAGTGAGGTATCAGTCACTGACTTCACTACCGTTAAGCAAAATCTCCGGCAGGAAAGAGTCCTCTTCCATGGACGCAGTGGAGTGGGCTATCCTTGTGCATGTGAGGGTCTCCTCATGAGGCCTTCCATAACCCCCTTCCCTGTGGTCCTGTGACCCCTGTTTGGGCATCGTGCCTCTAATGGCAGCGACCCAACCACAGCCCAGGAAGGGCTGGAGAGGACACACAGGAAGGGGCATCTGGCGGTGGGCTGCAGCAGGGCAGAGGCGGGCATGAGATGAGGAGATGTGGTCGTTCCTCCTCTGCCTCTCCTCATACGGAGGCCCACCCTTCCTTCCAAGGATTTTTTAATTAGTTTTGCCCGTTCTACCCTCACCCTGTCCATGCTGGCTCTAGAGGAGAAGGGGAGCATGTGTCGAAGAGAAGGCAAAAGTGGTTTGTCGGCATCCCCAATCGGGAGACTTGAACTTGGGGGCATTGGGTGCTTAAGCCGAGAGGCAGCGTTAGAACCTCTGTATATGGATTACACACAACTGCACACTCATGGAAAGTGGCCCTCTTTCTCTGATCGGCTTCACACCGGTGAAACGTAACATCTGAGTGTTGTGGCGCTGAAAATCGTTGATGCTGGAGTATGTTGGTGGGGGGATCTGGTGCTCGCGCCAGAGACAGAGGGCACCAACCGGGCGGCCCTGGCAGAGTGGTTGCCACACAGGCCGCCCTCAGCTTTCTTACCTGCCCTTTGCCCGCTGTTCTTTCACTCCCTCGATCAGGCACAAGAGCTTGAGGGAGCAGGTGGCATTCTGACCACCCAGCCGGGAGGGAGATTGGTGTGCCCCTTGCCGTCTGATGAGACTTTGTTGGCGCTCTCCCCTGGTTTTCTTGGGCTTAAAAAAAGGTTGAAAAAGAAATAATAATTAACTCTGGCAAATTTACTGCCTTCCACTCATGAGGATTGCTCTCTCCCTTGAAAATTAGACTTCGTGTTTCATCTCAATCCCACTTTCAGTTCGCTCTTGTGTCTCAGAATGGAATCTCTGATGGTGATTGTCACCATGACCATGGGTGCTGGGTTTCCCTCCCAGAGATCTGAATGCAGTTGGACTGGGCACCCTCTGGGATGAACAGCAGCATTTGCAAAAGCTTCTCTGGCAGATGCTTGCAATGACCTTATGAGCTCCATACTGTTATTCTCCCTTATCTTACAGTTGGGGAAACTGAGGCACAAAGACTTGGGTAAATTTATGTGGATTGATGTGAGACTTGAATTCAGGCAGTCTCACTCCTGAGCTCTTTATGGTGTCAAGGTCAATAGACAAGAGACAGACAGATACAGACAGACAGACAGATAGATAGACAGTTGGACAGACAGGATGGAAAGACAGATAGATGGACAGACAGACAGACAGGATAGACAGATAGGTAGGCAGGCAGACAGGCAGATTGGAAAGGGTCATTAGCATAAAAAAAACCTCACGATCTCCTGGCAATTGGCCTAATGCAATTTGGTTTTAATACCAATTGAATTTTAATGGATGATTTTGTGGTTGTCACAAAAATTGATTTATTAGCCCAAGAATCTAAAATATTTGATAAAAACAAAGGTAGGCTGTAAGTAGATCAGCACACAGTCATTTGTAACCTAGGAACTGAGTACTGAGAAAACCTCTTTCAAGGCAGATTGTTGTTTCTTTTCTCTCTCTCTCTTTCTTCAAGCTGCTAAAGAGGGTTATATGGCCGCTGTTCTTTTCACTCAGACCCATTTTTTTTCAAACACCGAGTCCCATGAAAACCTAATCTAAAAGGTGCAGAAAAAAAGGAGGCATAAGAGATTAGCTTTCCTACGGCCCAACTCTGATTTCTTTGTGACTAATTCTTATAAACCACAGTTGGAATAAATTTCCCTCTTTCTCTGTGCCAGTCACAGAGTCATATCAGCAGAGCCCAGGAGGGACCATGATGAAGATGTCCTATAGAGGCCAAAGAGACATGAAACCCACACGTGATGTCGAAATCAGGTGACAGTCACAAAAGAAGTCAAGCTAGACCAAACACTTGGGTTAAAGCCCAAGGGGACTTTCCTGACGGCTGTGGCAAGGACTAACAACGACCTGTCCTCTTTGACCCTTTCTTAAACACAAGTCTCAAATTTAAAGAGAAGAGGTAGAGAAATGTGTTCCGCCAAGGCACATATGAAAGTACATGCTTTGTGAAGTCAGTTCCCTATGGGAGACTCGTGGGTCTTGGCACCAGAGGGTAAGGGTGCGGGGCTCCTGCCCTGCGGACAGAGTGGGAGGTGTCTGCCATCCTGGCACAACAAGGGTGAACTCAATTCAAGGGCAGCTTTCATTTCAATTTCTCTGTCTTTTAATTTGCGTATTCCGCACACACTTATTTTTTCCTTTTGTTTTATAGTTTTCTTTAGGTTTCTTTTATTTTCCTTTTCTCATGCCTCCTTCTTATCTTGACTTGAAAAAAATAACCACTTTGATGGTCCCCACACCAGAGCAACCACCTGTATTTTACTCCCTAGTTTCTCATGGCTGGCACTGTTCTTCATAGTCAACGTTTCTTCTCTTATTGTACCATATAGTTTTTCAGTGTATGCGGTCTCTTCTGCTCACAACTTTTCCCATTTTTTAGGGTTTTTTTTTCTTTTTGATGGTGAGATCCCATGGGAAATTTCTCTGGCGTACTTTCCAACTCTTTCCAGAACACGTCATATTTTGAATGCACGTGGCTTGCCTTTCCTCTGGGCTGAATTGCGTCAATGAGGTTTGTGTTATGAAGAACCTATCAGATGTTTATAGTATGTCCTAGACACTCTCAGTTGGACATGCTGTTTAGAGTACCTCTTTTCTTCTGGTAAAGATGGAACATCCGCATATGAAGACTACTGACTTCCTGCTTCTGCAAATGAATTGAGCTTCCATGGATGAAGCTAATAGACTCAACCTACTTACCTGGCAATATGGCACCATTTCATTGGTCTGTTGGTCCCTACCTAATTCTTGCTTCAGTACTTAGAATTTTTCTTTCTTTCTTCCTTCCTTCCTTCCTTTCTTTCTTCTTTTCTTTCTTCTTTCTCTTTCTTTTTCTTCCTTCCTTCATTTCTTTCTTTCTTTATTCTTTCTTTCTCGTCCTTTCTTCTTTCTTTCTCTTTCTTTCTTTCCTCTCTCTCTCTTTCATTCAATTGTGGTAGAAATAACATCATGCATGTAGTGAGCTAGGCCTCATATTTGGGTAGGAATTAAAGACCTTATGTTTGGATAGGAATTATAGACACATTGGGAGCTGATAACTTACCACATCTTCATAGTACCTTGTAGTTTTTCCATGTGTCCAGTGACTTCTCAGATAATAATGTTTTTATTAAAATTTTATTGAGTTAAGATTGGTTCAGTCCAATTGCTACTTTTTCGGGACGTTTTGTGGTCAGGCCCTTCTAAAAGGATTGTGTAGGAAACCTAACATACTGCCTGATTTTTGAGTTCACGAAACTGAAAACAAGCAAGCAGGGAGGGATTCTTCACTACTTTCATTGCCATCATTGCTGTGGGCACCCTGTCATATTCTGATTTTTGTTGCAATTGTATTGCTCTCTTTTGCTATTCCACCTCCTGAACTGAGGAACTGCAGTTCAGTTATCTTCCTGAGAAGATCTTTGGCTTACATTTGCCTGCTCTGGTGGCTGTGTGCATCTTCCTTCCAGCAGCCATTTTTCTAACACTTTGCAGCTATAAAGAATCTTCCTTTCTTTAATTTGTATTTCCAGCTAGTAAGAAAATACATTGCTTCTATTTCGCTGGCTACTGTGAATACTTGTTTGACAGCTTCTCCCTAATCCTCCACCCAAGTCTGTTAAACAACACTTTGTCAGAAGTTTATGTTCAGTGCAAAGAGGTAAGTAAGAGTTGCATGGTTTAAGCTTTGGTTCAGCAAAGTCGGTCTCTCCTGAAAGTACTTGGGGAATCCTTCCTCCTTTGGACCAAAATTCTACATCTGGAACAAATGGAGGCTAATAAATCACTTAGCTTTTTGCAATAATCTTTAAGGAAACCATCAGACCCCTGTATCTACTCAGGTCAGAGTCTATTTGTGACGGCCACCATTGCTGCGTGTCTATGGCAGAGTCCTTTAAATTGGGTTTAGGTCATTATTAATTTGTTCTAAGCCAGCCGAATCAACAGAAGGGTAAATATGCACCAAGACAAAGTATTTTTCAGAAGTCGAGCAGTTTTTGGTAAAGCCCCAAACCTTATTAATCTTCTGCAGATGACAACCCATATATTGCCAATGATTAAAGATACCCATGTGTTACCATAGGGCTTCAGACTCACAGTCCCGCTCTCTTTTTTCTTGATCTTTCAGTAAAATCATAATGCTAAACTGGTGACTTCACAATCGTTTCCTTGGCAAAAGATTAATATCACAAGCACAGAGGAAAAAATCTCCCTCTTACACACAAGTGTCTTCAATAACAGTGGGAGAAAACAGAAAACTACTGGCAAAGTGAATTGCTTTTCTTCTTAAAACTGTTTCTCTTTCCCGTTCTGCCCCATGTGCCCAAGTGTAAAAGCTCTGCCTTGAAAGTGCTTCGCGTTGTAGATCAAACACTTAAGAGAAAATGACAATAATACGGCCTGGACATCCTAGGTACAGCTCAGAGAAAACCCTCTGGGATAGTGGGGATATGTCAGGGCAGAAACACTGGACTGTGTTGAATACACTCTTTGTGTTTTGTATGCATACAGCTGAGAACTGCAGTCGGATTTTAAGGAATTATGTTATATTTGATGCTCGAGCACTTATTTTAGGGGGGAGGGTCCCTTCCCTTGACTCCCTGCAAGCTCTTTCGTCGCTGACTCTTCGGAGTGGGAGGCTCAGGTGATAAAGGCGTCCTGGGGGAATTTAACATTTTTCTTCCGAACGATGGCGGGATGCGTTTCCGAACAGGACTAACATCTTCAGGGATAGTTTGTGCTTACCTGCAAAACAAATGCCTCACCGCGAAAAGCAACTTTCAAAAGGCACACCAAAGATTTTCTCCTGAAATAAATCATTCACAGCAGGCTTCAGAGATTTCTTCAGCGGGCAAGCAGTTTGTTTCAGTTACAGCCAGGTGTGCTGCGAGGTCCCAACTCACTGCCAGTTGGCCAGGGCCTGGGACGCAGAGCTCACGGGCGGCTGAAGAAACAACACGTCACTGACAACTTCCATTCATCATCCTGGGCCAGAAGCTGGAAGGGATGGGCTCCATGTGCGCTCCCCTCCAAGAGGACCCTTCAGGGCTTGTGCGCTTTTAGGAGAAACCGGTAACCGTCTGCCGTGGGGGCCGACATGTGCCCAAGGGGCGCCCAAGATGTGCCCACGAGGCACCACGTGGCCGCACGTCCCTCAGACAAATAAGCTTGCAGCTTGGCGGGAGTGGGGTGTGCAGGTGTGCAGGGCCACAGATATCGAGGGACATCCCTCCAGGCTGTGAAATGCTGCTCCTCCCCCAGTGATCTCAGACTGGCGCGACCCTTCCAGATCACCCTGTGACAAGCATGACGAGGCCATAGCTCTCCTTTGTAGGGGGCTCAAACCTTTCCCGAAGAGCTCCCTACCTCTATCTGCAACCCCTGTCTTTGTTAGCAAATAATTTTCATGGCCTTTCTCTAACTATAATCTCTCTTTCTCTTTTTCTTTTGCCTTTGCTGAGGCACACATCTAGAATCTTCTGTGCCACCAGAAGACTGGTTCCAGATTAGCAAGTGAAACTGCAGATTGAGAACCAGCCTGGCTCAGCCAATGAAATTACTGTCCTTTAGATTTTTAAAATATGACGTGGGAACGTACGACCCTATAACTTACCTCCTAAATGGCTTCCTTATTAGGCCTTATTTTGGAGTAATGTAAAATAAAATAAACAAAACTGTTTTCTAAACATGCTCCAGAGATTATTAACAAAGGCAGAATTGTTTATTTTTCCCAGATAGCTGTATTCTCTCATTAAACACACACACACACACACACACACACACACACACACACGCACACCCTATCTAAGGCTTTTATGTATGTGAAAGCTTCACCTCTCAGATGCCAAGTGATCAAAGCGCCGGAGCTGCTGTGAGATCAGTGGCCACGCACACGTTGGTCACCGAGAGCCCGGTTCCTGTTGGCTGCACCCTGGCCATTTTGGCAGCAGACATGGGTGTTTTCCTGTGTCCACTGGGCAGGCACATGCATTTTCCCTGGGGCATCTTAGCTGGTGATGCCTGAAAATTTGGCCTCGGTTGTTTATAGCAAGGAAAAGCGATCGGAGCTGTCAGCCTTGATATTACACCTAAACCTGCGTAGAATGTGGTAAAATAATGCAAGGTTTGTTTTTTAGGCCTGTTTCATATTTTCCAGGCGATAGATCAAATTAGTTCAGGGTTCACGCTTAGCTCTTTAATACATGGACAACGTACGTGGGCAGTACAATCAGAACGCACTATTGACGTGGAGTGCCGCACAGTTTGCGTGGCCATTTGTGCTGTTTCTCAGTGACCCGGGAACCCTTGACAATGAGTTTTGTGCCTCCAGCAGGGAAGCCAAGACCCGAGCTGCAGTGAGCCCCCTCCCTCGTGTTTCTCCTCGTCTCCCCCGTCTCCCGGCCCCTTGCCCATCATTCCTGACTTTCCCTCCCACCTGCAAGTGTTTGAGGCACTAAATCAGCACAGAGCAAACAACGAGGAAACCATATCTGGGCTTTTCTCTCGTGTTTTTACCTAAATCTGGACCCTTCCCTCTCCTTAAAATGCTCTCCCCTAAGTACTTACTGCCTTCAGGTCCTTATTTCAAAGCTGTCCAGAGAGGCTGCCCCTGGCGCCTTCACCTGACATTCCCTGTCACCTCCCTTTCCCCCCTCTCCTTGGCATTGATTTCTACCCACCAGATCTTCTAGTTCACTTCTTTTCTTTTTTTTTTTGAGTTGGAGTCTCACTCTGTCGCCCAGGCTAGAGTGCAGTCTCTTGGTCACTGCAGCCTCGACCTGCCGGGCTCCGGTGATCCTTCTGCCTCAGCCTTCCAAGTAGCTGGAACTACGGGCGTGTGCTACCATACCCGGCTCATTTTGAGGTCTTGCCAAATTGCCCGGATGGGTCTCGAACCCGCAGGCTCAGGCAATCCACTCGCCTCAGTCTCCCAAAGTGCTGGGATTACAAGCTGAGCCACCAAGCCCGGCCCTACTTATTTTCTTAAGTGTTGTTGGTCTCTCACACCAGGATGGGAGCTCTCTGAGGCCAGGGATGGTTGCCAGGAGCTAGCCTTGGACAGCGCCTGGCGTGTAGCAGGCACTCCACAGATATCTGTTGAACGCATGAACAGAAGTCATCTGCCCCAGGCTTCCGTGTCTTTGTCCCGTGATAGATGATGTGTGTTCCCAGCCTGTGTGGATGTGGGACACTGATGTCTCCACCTCCCCCACCTTGTCCCTGCAAAAAGAGGGTGCAAGATATCTAAGCGTGGCATACACCCTCCTGAGCCATGCCCTGCATCGAAGCAGCAAGTGCAGGGACAGCCGTTTTGGGGAGACTTTCTCCCAGTTGGGTTTCTCTTGGACACCCTAACAACCCCCCAGCCCTCCTTCTGCCAGCATCTGGACCCCAGGCCTCTTCTTCTTCTCCAGGTTTTTTTTTTTTTTTTTTTTTTGAGTGGTAGGTAGCGTTGATTTTAGCCAGGCAGCTTACTGCTTCTCTACACGCTAATGTTCATTTGGGTAAAGAGGCCAGCATGCCACTCCACCTATTGGAAGCCAGGAAGAAAACAGTTGTGTGGGCCGCAGATGCTTCCATCTGCTGTGCTCGCAACCCTGGTGACCGGGACATAAATCTGTTGAGCCTGGCCATGGCTCCGCTGGGTTCCAAGAACATCCACTGCATGTCTGATATTAAGTTTTACTGCCCATGAAGGCAAACATCACCTCCGTCATGGCCAGTTAAACGGTATCTTTTACAGTGGACTTCTGCATATCTGAAACCCACCCATCCAGAGCTGAAAGTCATGCCGGGGGAGAGACTTTATGCTGCCATGTTCTTTACAAGGGGAGGGCAAGGGTCAGCTCAATTCATAAAATCACGGCAGTCATTTTTCAGCTGGCTGAGAGACTTCACAGACCAAAAAAATATGGTGGCTCCTAAATTATTTCTTTTCTTTCTTTTTTTTTTCGAGTTGGGTGTCTCACTCTGTTGCCCAGCCTGGAGTGCAGTGGCAGGATCACCACAATCATGGTTCACAGCAGCCTCGACCTCCTGGTCTCATACGATCCTCCCACCTCTGCCTCCCATATAGCTGGGACGACAGGCACGCACCAGCACGCCTGGCTAATTAAAAAAATTTTTTTGTAGAGATGAGCTCTCCTTCTGTGGCCCAGGCTGGTCTCGAACTCCTGCACTCAAACGATCCACCCACCTCAGCCTCCCAAAGTGCTGGGATGACAGGCGTGCACCACTGCACCCAACCCTAAGTGATTTCTGATGCGCGCAACTCTAGTGGGTTTTATTCTCAGCATGAGATGCCAAGCCCACGAGAGCCCATCTCTGCAGCTATGGACGGACGGGTCAGAAACCATCCTGGGTGGCTTCTGGCACCAGCACACAGGCTGGGTGTCTGTTTTAGCACCCTGTGGGAGTCCCCCTGGAGGCCTGCTTTGCACACGAGGTCCCCTCACGCCTTCTCCTTTTCTTTCAGTGTGGTGCTCACCTGGGGCACATTTTTGATGACGGGCCTCGTCCAACTGGGAAGAGATACTGCATCAACTCAGCATCCTTGTCCTTCGTGCCTGCAGAGGGCAGCAGCGGCGCCGAGGGGGACAGCGGGGCCACCAGCCCTGCCCCGGCGGCCCGAGGAGACCTCTAAAGCCAGGGGGGCGTGCGAACAAAGTGCCCTTCACTCACTGCGAGCTCAAGAGTCAACACGGTTTTTCTTCGTAGATCTATTTTTTCAGAAACTCTAAGGGCAGTTTTGTGCTATCGATATTTTCTTCCTTCTTTTGCTTACCCGGAGGCCCTCGTCCTCCGTGCATTTTGCTCTTGACCAGATCAGGAACTGTCGGTTGCCGTAGCCGACAGAGACAGTTTCATGAAGTTTCTTCACAACCTACCCGCACACCCTCTGGCATCCTTGTCTTTGAGCACACAGCTTCTCTGGCAATTCTCCCCCTCTGACCAAGAAGTGGAGGGTGCACGGTCTTCAGACGTGAGAACAGAGGTCTCCCAGGCATTGTAGGCCGGAGCCAGGCAGGGCGGTCTGCGGAGACCTGGGGGACACATGGCCTCACGCCCACCTGAGATAAGGACTGAGGGACGTCTTGAGAGACTTCCCAGCCCTGTGGAAAGTCTGAGCTAAGGTCGTTTTCTTTCCTCACTAAGAGGGTGTGAAGGTCTAAAGTCTTTCCTTATGTTAAATTGTTGCCAGATTCGAGAGGGTGCATTGGGTGTTACGGCAGAGATGTAAACATTACCTCACTGCCCGGCCTTCATTTGATTTGATTTTCCATGGAAAGCGCTGGAATGTAAGACACTGTGCGACGTGGAGCCCCATTTTTGTCCTAGGCTCACGAGGAAGCACACCTGCCCCCTGCCCTGCTGTAAGTCCTTTCCCCCACACCTAATGCCAGCTACAGCCGGACGGCCGTTTGAGTCAGTTCCGCTGTGTACAGGGAAACGTGGGGACAGCGTGCTTCCTCAAGGCCGCAGGAGTGACCACCAAAGACAGAGTCTTCTTGGTCGGGAAGACACAGTGCAGGGTGGAAGAAAGGCTGACCGACAGAGCCCACAGCGGGGGCCCCTGGGCACAGAGCACCGGGAGACCTCTGGGATGGTGTTGGGGACAGACCTGGGGATGGCCCGAAGCTTAAGTTCACACTTGACACCAATCCCCCGTGTGACAAGGGACAAGCCATTTACACCTCTCTGTGCCTATTTCTTCATGGATAAACCGAGACTCCCAATACATGTAAAACGGATCGACACTCTCAGGGCAAAATTACCGTATTGCTAGGCGATTGAGATAGGCGTCGTGAAACAAACCTGACCTGGTTCTCGTTGCCGCAGAGGCCACAGCCCAGGCAAAGAAGCGGAGAGGGGCCTGCCTAGCTGATTGGGATGGAAACGGTCGGGCCGCGAGCCAGGCATTTTCTCTGTAGCAATATGGCTGGTTTTACTTTGAGACGCTCTGCTCCATTGCTTGAGTCTAGTTCAGCTGCTCTAGTCAGTTCACATTTAGTCTCGGGTTTTCTCGAGTGTGAGCCATGGTGATACCAACTGGCATCGCCGTAGCTGGGTGTGAAGGTGTGGTGTGTGACTCGTGTATACCGTTTGTAACTTCGATGGATCCTTTTGAATGTAGTTTCTAAAAATATTATTTTTGTAAATCTTTGCAACCTTATGCCGATGGGCATCTTCCCTTGTAAGCACCAAAGACACCCATGAGAGAGAAGGGCGATTTTAAAGAAACAGTGAGAAATTTGAATGAAAAGTTGCAACGAGTCACAGTGTCAGGGTGGCTGTGACCCCGTTCTTCCACATTTCCCTCAACAGGCGCCTCAGAGAGGCCCTGCCACCCCGGTGACTCTTGAGCGTCATGGGTGCTGCAGCTCCGTGGTGCCGGTGAGACGTGCTCTTGTCTGGATACTTGGATGGGAGGTTCTCATCTGAGCGTCCAATGGTCCCTCAGCTCCAAGATGCTTCCCCCAGGCCCAGAGGTCACTCTGGAATTTTAGAAATGAGGCCTAACGTTTCAGGCCACTAGACCACCTTAGACACCTTTCTCGACCTCCCAGGGACAGTGCCACCACATCCCAGTGACCCAAAGATCCCACATTGGGGTGACCCAAGGAATGTGTCCCTTGGGGCATTGTCACAGCCTGCTGCTGTCCCCACAGGCCCCCGCAGCCCTTCTGGACTGCTCTAGCCTTGTGTGGTGGCCTCCCCAGGCTCCCTGGACGCAGGCCACAGTGTTGGACTAGACAAGGCAGACCAACGAGGGGTCTTCCCTCCCCGCCGAGACTCTGGATTGTGACTGTTCCTTCGTTTTGATTGTCAGACTTAACATTTCGCTCCAAAAAAGCCCCTCCTTTTCTAATCCTTAGCCTTTGTTTCAAGGAAAGCCCGTTCCCAGCATCAACTTGAAGGAAAAAATACAACATCCATTGAAGAAAAAAAAAAGTGGGGTGTATGCATGTGGTTTAATTCCAGATTGCTTTTGGGTTTAAGTGGTATCAAATTTCAGTCTATTTCTGTCTCATGTTAGAGAAATATATTGCTGAAACGTCAGTGAGCAGTAATGTCAGCTGTCAGGCGTAGATTTATTTTCGCAGGATGTGAAGCGCAGTGAACTGAGGCGATTTGCGAGGTGTGTGATCGGCGGGGCCACTCCACTTTGCGGGGAGGTGCACGGGGCTTCCCTTTCCACACACTAGCCCTCAGCGGCCCCCGAGAAGATGCTGGCTTCTGCTGATGTCCACAGCCCAGATCTGAAGATCAAGCCGCAGGACCTGCCTTGTTAGAGGTCACTTCCATGTGTTTAAATGCTCCACCTCTTAGATGCATTTATATTCTTAGTGCAGATGACATAGCGGTCTAAAACCCTATCCGTGTTAATTGTGTTGAAAACGTCTTGCTTTAAATAAAAAAAATGGTGAAGAGGATTCTCTTTTTGTCTTGAAGGTCGGATATTATTTTTGCCTTAGATACCTTTGTAATAGTCTTTCTCCAGACAGTTCAAAACTTTTGAAAAACAACGTGAAATTTTCATTAAGAATCCTTTTCCTATGTTTATTGTCTACAGGAATTATGCAATAAAACTTCTTTATGGAAATATTTTCTTCTCTGATTCCTAAAGTTGCCTCTTATTTTTAGCCACAGACACACGAGCTGAAGTTTGTGGTCGACTGTTCTGTTTACCTCCATACACAGCTAGACCTGTAGCTAGACCTGTAGTTCGTATCTGACGTGGCCTTTGGAAGTTAGGGCTCTCACAGTAGAGTTGAATCTCACTCTCCACACCACAGGCCCCGGGACAGGTCTCTGGGAATCTGAAAGACAAAACGGGAGGGAAGGGGAATATTTGTAGGATTACTCAACCTTCCCCTCACCTTGTTACAGCCTGACTGGGTTCTTATGTCTGCTGCCCAGAACAGATAGAACTGATGCAGCCGTCGCAGTAGAGAGATTTCATTGTCTCAAAGCAGCTGAGCTAGGAGGTTAGGAGATATTTCTGAACTCTGCCTTCCCAGTCATTCAGAGGCGAGGGTTTTTAAAAGGAATTTGGTGGGCAGGGGGCTAGGGATTGCTGATTGGTTGATGATGTCATGGGGGATGTTGAGACTGTCCCAGAGTCAGTTTCTGGGAGGGGTTGCCACAGGACTGGTAGGTGCTCTGGGCCTGGGTGGGGCCCTGGGTCCATCCGATTCTGAAAAATGTCTTAAATATCATTTTTAGGTTTTGTAATAGATGCTACCTGCAAAGCAGTTCCCATGACCGTCAGTGGCTACCCCTGGGCAGTGAGTCATCATAGAGGTAGTTTAGGAGGAGGGTATGGGAAGGTGGGGCCCCTAGAGAAGACTGGAGCCTCCTGTTTTTTGGAGTTGGAGTCTCACTCTGATGCCCAGACTGGAGTGCAATGGCACGCTCACAGCCACCACAGCCTCGACCTGCTGGGCTCAGGCGATTCTTCCACCTCAGTCTTCCAGGTAGCTGGAACTATAGGTGTGCACCACCACACCCGCCTTATTTTTTTTATTTATTGTAGAGACAAGTTCTTGCCAAGTTGCCCAGGCTGGTCTCGAACCCCTGAGCTCAGGCAATCCTCTCGCCTCGGCCCCCCAAAGTGCTGGGATCACAGGCTTGGGTCACTGCATCAGCCTTGGAGCCTTTTTTATCTTCAAGAAGTCTCAGGCCCATCGGTTAAGGGAGCCTTGCAGGGTAGACTCCCCTGCTCCCCAGGGGTCAGGACGTGAAGATCATCAACTCTCCTCTACTGGCATGAAAACAAACTTAGAAACAACAGATATTGTTAAGTTCTAAGCATAGCTGCATCTTTTCAAGACTCAGGTCTCTTTTACAGCTTTTACCCCATGGTCCGATATTCATTTTATACAGGCGGTTTCAACCTCAGCAAAATCTTCAGTCTGTGCTTTTGTGCTTAAAGCACGGACTTTGAGGAGATCCATCATGACAACTCTATGGATAAAAATGCCGAAATAATACCATGCTGATCCCTGGGCTTCTGTCAAAAAATTTAACAAGAATCTTATACTATTGTCAAGAGAATATGTTAGGGGTTTCTCAAGGCTCATAGATCAATTCACCTTTAAAAATCATCTCTGTAGATGAGTTTTGGTATAGTAGTATTTGTTGTTGGAATGTTTAGCACTTTTGTTTTGGTGATTTGTTTATTTTGGGGGAGGAGAAGTGGGGTGATGAGGACCTTATTTTGTTTTTCAATCAATTATTTAAGTCATATTCCCAGGATTGTAAATTCCACGGGCTAGCAAGCTCACGCAGTGTGCCTTAGAATAGTGTGGTTCCCAGTGTGGGCCTCAGACTGAAGCGTCATCAGTGCCTGGAACTTGCTAGAAATACATATTTTCAGGCCTCATCCTGGACTGGCTTAATTGGAAATTCTGGGCTGGGGCCTTTACGTTTTGCATCTTAGTAAGCCTTCCCTGCAATTTTTGTGCTTATTCAGCTCTGAGAACAACTGCCTTAGAGCTATTAGTGAGAAAACTTCAATGTGTTCATTTTTTATTTTTTTGAGTTGGAGTCTCACTCTGTCACCCAGGCTGGAGTGCAGCGGCACACTCACGGCCACCCCAGCATCGACCTGCTAGGCTCCAGCGGGCGATCCTTCCATCTCAGCCTTCCAAGTAGCCAGAACTACAGGTGCGCGCCACCACACCTGGCTAATTTTTGATCTATTGTAGAGATGAGATCTTGCCAAGTGGCCCAGGCCAGTCTGGAACCCGTGGGCTCAGGCAATCCACTTGTTTTGGC